TAAGACTAGCGCTGATGAGAATAAATTAAAATATCAGATATAATCGTTTAACATCCTGAGAAATAGCCTCCAAGCTTATAACCGCAGAAATAACATGATTAGGTGACAAGAGAAGCCAAAGGCATTTTCAAAAAATAAATTAAATCCGTTGAACTCATAAAAGTCGTGAATAAATGAGGTATTCATTGACTTCAACACTCATCTGATAAAAATAAACTCCAAAGCCCTAGTGACGTAGTGCTTAGAACGAACAGAAAAATGAAGCGAGAATAAGGTGATAATGGAAAGTAATAAGTAAAAACTAAATCACTGAAGCTGCCTTTCGTGGATGCTAATCCATGGTATTTCTCTCTCAAGAGTACGCAATTGACTAGAGTGTAAGTCAATAGGGAGGATCCAGAACTTGCTAAAACTAGGAAGTTAAGCAATGAACGTGGTGAAAAGAACATTCGCTGAACTCTATAACGAATGAAAAAAGATAATGGTAGAGTATTTACGCTTCCTTAAAAGCATACCCGAGTCTAAGTGACGTATCTGAACAGTCGCAACAATAATGAGGCGGCCCAGAGTTTGAGGCGTGTTTTGTCAACTCACTTGATTGTTCCTTTTCATATTTGGCACTCTCAGAAGGGGCCGCCTGGTTTCTGCCGCTTGAAGACTCGATCTGTTTTGACGAGCCAATGATGGGTGAGCTCCACATGCATCGACTAGGGAGGTGAAGACTGGAGAAAAGAATGAGAGGACGCCCGATTACCTCATTTCTCAGAAGGCCATTCTCCTCCATCAATTTCGCGCACTTTGAAAACCAGAAAGAATCAGTTTGGAATACCATGTTAAGTTATTTACCGAAGTTTTGATGTATCTGGTACAAAACGGCATCCTAGAGACGTAAAAGTATTTCGAAGCACAGAAACATAAAATAACTCATTCATAGAGGAAGAAGCAGTGGCTATTGCAGTAAAGAAAGCAGACCGGAAGAACTTTTTGGGTGAGCATGCGAACCAAGAGGATGAAAATAATTGATACCCATGTCGTTGTGCGATAATGAGGAAACTCAGAGCATCAGAGACCAGATGAAAGCCACCTTTTTGTCTTAGAATAGCCCCAAAGTTTCGATTTGTGTTCATCTTGGGGAATCCGTAAGAATGCGTTTATAACTGGTTGCTGCGTTAGCGAGTCGTCTCTGAGAGTTTCGGAGTCTTTGGAAGTCTCTTCATGTACATCAAGACCAGGTAGGTAAAGGTGGGCGGGCAAGATTTCATATTTGACTCCTCTTGTGTGATATAGCCATCTAGGGTTCGGATTTCCTGGGTTTCTCAGGCCGTTGCCAATTCTGTGACTGGCATGTGGCCCACCGTCAACCTCTCATACTTTGAAGATAAGATGGGTAGCAACAGCATCTAAGAAATGTCCTGGCCTGTAGTTGCGGGCTTCCACAAGGCAAATGGTGCCTCTGGTTTTCATCTTCTTCCTTCTTCCTATCCTTGGGGTCTTCTTCCACGGGGAGAATACACAACTTTTTCCAATTGCTGCGGGACAACCGGCTTCCGCAACTTATCAAGAACGTTTCCCTGGCCGACGCTTGCGATTCCAGGGTGGAGGTTCCAACCGTTAGCCACCAGCGCCTAGGTGTCTTTCGCCTCTCTCCCACGATGAGAGTAACTCTGAGACACATATAAGCCGTATATCCTCCCTGTCCTCTGCTCTGAGAGTCTTCTTCAGAAAGAAAACAACAGTGACATGAACCGCTGTCGAGACTATTTTGTTCTGGCCTCTGCTGCCACGTACTGTGCTCAAATTTATTGTCCAGACATCTACTACTCCAGACCATGAAGTAACCATCTGTTTCTTCTCTGAAAACTGAAGTCTGGCAATCTAGCCTCAATGCCTTCTACTCTACAGTCGCTAAGGGTCTTTCACTGCACTCGTTGGATCTCTGGCATCTACTACCTACGCGAGCGTCAATGGCGTCCCTAACCACACTCGCTTATACTGCTTCTTTTTAATGGAATTGTTGTCCTACATCAGTGAGCCATACATTATATAGCATCATGGGGAGAAGTGGCTACGATTTTTCAAGTTTTAGTTTTACAGCCCAATAGACCAGTTGATTTCCAGGAATGGGAACTTGTCTATGTTCGACTGTGCCTCCGCGCTTCCATGGAGGAAAGGAAGGGTGACTACGAAATTTCAGGACTATATAAATCTGAGGAGCCAGGGAGTACAATATAATAGAAGATGCAGGTCTGCCGAAACGGATCCATAGATGTCTCATCTGTCCTCAGATAAGAAGAAACCGAAAGGATGCTAAGGTAAGAAACAAGATTGCATCTATTTACCGGCCTTAAGTGGTTGCTCTTTTAGTTTTTCAACCATTTACCGACGCTACGATATAGATGTCACCGTAGAATAAAATCTGCTCCTAAACTACCTTCAAATTATCGGAAATAAATCACACATACCTTTCTCGCAAGAACTCGGCACAATCCGGTCTCGAGTTCTTCCTCCAACTTCTGAAGCTCTTCCAGCGTCAGTCCTCCAATATCTTCCCCTCTCATTTGCCTAAAAGTAGGATGACGACCTGGTTTGAGCAACCTGCAACCAACTCGCATTGACTTCCAATCGGAATGGCATACCTGAGCTGTAAGGTCAACTCCACAACTTCCATCCTAAGCGATTCACGGTTGCTATCTTGGAGCTATGAAGGCAAAAAAAATTGGTACCAGTAACTGGACAGTACATGCAAATTCAGAATGGAAGGATGAACGGACTGAAGCAAAATGAAACGGTCTGTGTGATTAGTCCCAGCAGATGGATACAACTTCCAAATGATAAATTTTCAGCACCGAGTGCTTGAGTACGATTTTGTTGCTACTCACTATATATACATGAGATGCAAATTCAAAAAGTTCTTTGCTTTCAAAGTTATTTACGCTCTAGTTAGGAAATAATGTAGGACGTCACTTCAAAAAAAAACTAGCACGAATTTTTTTTGACCCAAATTGTGTGAAAACATAAAAATTGGACTAAAAATAATTGCTGGCCCAAAATGAAAGTGATATGGAACAGTATACACGACCATGAAAAGTCAGAAATTGGTAGGTGAGGAATTCTAAAATTGTGAAGTGTGCGGCCTACAAAAACCAGAACAGACAAAGAAGGTGCAAATTAGGTTAGGCACAAGTAAAATGCATGAATAACACAACAAAAGAGGTTGTTGTCGTAACTATCTTACTATTAGGTCATTTAAAATTTGTTTCTGTGACAGATGTTATTTTCTAGAAGAGTTATAACTGATTTGAGCGTACTTAAAGATTAGTATGTTGTAATTTGGGGGACATCTTGTTTATTAAAAAACTTTATTCTCTTTGAGAGAGTTATGTCTGTGGATTCAAGCAACCCTTGTGGATTCAACAATGCTATTTGATTCTTGTGGATTCAGAAAAATTATTTGATCATTGTGGATTCAAGGGTTGCTTTGGTCAATCCTTAAAGTTGCAATGATTGAACAAGATAAATCTTATGGATTCATGACCTAGTCTCGAAATTCGACATTAGTGCCTCATTGATTCAAGGCTAAAATCTATTTTCTCACATAGCTATAAAACTTACCAAAGGATGGGACATGAAAACTTACCAGAAGTTCAAGTGATGGTGGCATCAATTTCAAAGTATCTTGTGAATGCTGTTTACGTCTTTTGATTGTCTCCTTCATACTTTGAGAAAAACAGGAAATACATAGTGTGAGCAAGGATATAATAGTCCAGGCCTTCTTACCATCTTATGCAACTTCACAAAATACTGAGAAAATTTACATGAAATAAGTTAGTGTAGCTCATTGAACTACCTAGAGACTTTTGGTAAATGATGTTAATACCTCAATGATTTACTTGATTTTTGGGGATATCACTTTGGTATATCCAATGAGAACACAGTGATAAGTTTTCGTTGGTACAGAGAAAAGTAGTCAAGTCCCAAATATGGATGAACACTCACTTGCTTCCACGACACTATGCCATGTTGTCATGTTATCCACCAAAAACATCTAATGCAGCTACATAATTGGAATTGGCTTACTAAGTCTACAATAACATCCAAAATGTAAGTTTTCATGCTCTGGGGCAAGAAACACATGGTCAATTCTGTGATATGATCTAATCAACCATCAGAGAAATATTACTGAAAGATTGCGTATTCTCAGTTGGTGATCAGGATCCTTAACAATTGCCTACTCTCTTTCATGTCTTACAACATAGATGACTCCAGTTGGACTTTGCAATTCAGTATCTTGCAAAAGATCAGAGATGCTATCTACAAAATATAAGTCATGTTCTGATCCATGTTCAAAAGGCTATTCATGAAAGAGGTGGGAACGAGATCCTACCTCTTTCTTAAGAAAGCAAGAAAAAGTTTAACGTTATGCTAGCTATTAACGAGATCATGCCCATAGAGTGGGAACAGTTTTGACGGGTGATAAGAATTACAGAGGCTAAGGATAACCTCAGTTCAAATTATAAATTACACGAAAGTTTCACAGATAATCCACCAAACTAGCCGATTTTAGTTCACTCATAGTCCACCCACTGAGAATCTGTCTTTCAACCTGTATGGGACAAACTCGCACACACCCTACTCGAGCGTGTCAATAAAGGATAAAAGTTAAGCTGTTCTCATCATCCAAGCTCCAGGTTCCTTTAGCTTTAGCTCTCCTCTCGTTTTTCTTCCCCAGATTTTACACGATTGCCCTCTCTCTCTCTCTCTCTCTCTCTCTTCTCTCCCCCTCTTTCTCTGTAGCGATCTATCTATCCAAATCTTTATCTATCTTTCTATCCATCAATCAACCAATTAATGCAAGCCTGCACCCTGTTCAGATATTCCTCGTTCCGTGCGTCCCTTGGCTTCCATTCTCGGTGTTTCTCGTCTCACCTCCACACCCGTTGGAGAGCCCTAGCTTTCCTTTAAGGAAAGCCACAACAAACAAGAAAAGGAACAACTACCAATCAGACCGAGAAAGATAAGAGTAGAGAGAAGAGTGAGGAAAATTCCGCAACTAGCATGTGATAGACGGCAACGCTTGCACCCACGCGAACGGGATATGGACTGCTGGATGAGGGATGCGGCAAGAAAGAGAGAAGGCAACACCGTCTAAAAGGACTAAAAGGAAAGGATCTGCACCTGTTGCTAAAATATTCGGAGAGCTTGCCAGTGGAGGAGAAGACGATCGCCCCTACTTCGGCATCACAGAGTATGGCCAGCTCTTCCGCCTTCTTGAACAGGCCCCTCCTCCGTTTCGAGAAGGTCACCTGCCTCGTGGTCGTGTTTTCTATCTTCCTAATCTTGATCTTCTCCCTCGCCATCCCTTCCTTCTCTGTCCTCCGACTTCTTTTGCCTCACCACATGGCTCGCTGATGGGTCCAGCGGTGACCAACAAAATGGAAGGACGATCCCCCTACAGGGAATAGAAAGTTACAAACAAGAAGAACATGTTATGAGTTTGGAAGCCCAGGTCTGTGGAATCTTTGTCTTGTTTCATAAAAACTGAGCGGCTTTGCCAAATTTACAGCAGCCGATGAGTACCCAAGTTGCGTAAGATACTGTAGTAGCCCTATAATAGGAGATTACTCCATATCGAAAAAAGGCCGGAAATGCATTCGACAAGAGAGAGAAATCCTTGGCAACTCGGAGGGAAAAGAAGAGAGAAGAGGATCGAAGCGAGAAAAGTGGGAAGAGAGAGAGAGAGAGAGACAGAGAGAGAGGAAATAAAACCTAAAAGACGACGGAGGCTTCTGGAACTCAGGTTAGTTTTTCCGCAGAAACTCTGCTGAGAAAACAAGCTGGAAAATCAATTCTCGATTTCAACTGAGGGGAGATCTGAGGGAGCCAGTGGGGCATCTCAGTTTGCTATCCAATCAGGTGGTTTCCTTCCTTTTACTTTTCCATCGCTTTGAGCTTACGCTTTTTCGGCCATTTCTGATAAATGGTAAGTAGATTCCCTCTTGTCGCATTTGTTTCTCTTATCTTCTTCGTAGTTCCTGCAATCGATCGTCGCTTTAGGCATCCTTCCGCTACCTGCGTAAACAGTGAAATGGAATGCAATTGAAATATGCGCACTGGCACTCTTAGAGCAGATACAATCTCCGCACAAAACTCGATTCATGAGAACCCTAGAGGCATCATCAGTGGAGTAGATGTCTCTGCCATGATGCGAGCAGTGTAAAACCAAACCTTGCGCATTGTCACAGTATACACAGAAAAACGTTCTCCTGACATGACGTCTGGAGGAAGAAGTTGGAGATGCACGGGATTCGGTAACTTTCTCAAGAGCACCGCTGTATTCCGCACAATGGCGGCATACAAGAGGGCGGGTGGGATGCCGAAGAATAGGGCTGACGATAGCGGAGCTGACGCCATCTGTAGCCGCACAGATGACGTCATAAGACCCCCCCCCAACCCCCCGCCTTGCATTTTGACAGGCCACTTGGACAATAGTCGACACGATATCACATGCATGCCCTTGCTTTGCTTGCGGATTTATTTTCGTGAGAACCCAGGCAGGGGCCACGAGAAGATGCCTCCTCCTTCATGGCTTTGCCGGATTCGGTCTTGGCTATGATTACAGTAAGAAATAGATCTTTTGGTTTCAAAATCCAACTATTAACAACGTATGTAAGATTAGGTTGTTCCTTCAACTGAAACACTGAGAAGAAAGCATGTGCGGCGTAGCACATCTCAATAATTTTTCCATAATCTCCAATTATGAAATAGGCTTTCTTTTGTACTGTATACTATCCAATAATTTAGTCACCATTAGTATTGTCTCAACGGCTCACATTTAATGTTTTAGACTAGTGTCAACTAAAAATGCTTCAATGCTTAAGAGGGCATAACATCATTTAAGCCATCCATGAGTTTGTTCTTGCCATCATTAAGATGACTTCTTACTTAGCATTTGATAATGCTTTAGATTCCTTGACCTACTCTCTAAGTGTAAACTGTATCAGCACGATTATTGAAGGGACGTATAATAGTTATTTTTTACTACCTTGTATTATCTCAACTAAACCTAGGGCTCCATTGGCCTAAATGCCCTCAATTGACTCTTTGACACTCATGGCTTTAGTAGAAAAATATTAGTAATTTCTTTTTGAAAGGTTCATGTACATTTGTATTTATTGACTATGAAACAAAACTACCATAATTGAAATGATTTCAAGGAGAAATAAATTCAAACTTAGTATCATGGACTCAGACATAATGCTAAACAAGACTCTACATGGTCTAGTTCAGACAATGTATATATTTCTTAAGTAGTATGCCATTTTCCATCTAAAATTTCTCGATTTAATATTAACAAAACAGTTGTCAATGGATCAAATAAATTACTTCAAACTAAGCATGTGTCATTTGAGACCAATTGAAGAGGGATTTAAAAGTACATCAATCTAGGGAAACTTTCCTTAATGCATTGATGGAAGTTCTAATGTTGGGGATGAGGCAAATGAACGACTTCAACTGAAATTTTAAATTAATATTCTAGAAATAAATTTCTTCCTCAATTCATCTATGTGACACCTAAATGAATACCAGAAATAATTTTTAAACTAAAGAAAATTTAGATTTGAAACACAATGGATAATATTGAACAATGAATTAGAAATAACTTGTTGGTTGTCACTCGATAGGAGAAGGGAGAAGGGATTCTCTTTTCACCCTAAACCTAATTTTTTTATACTAGAATGGATCTAGAATTGATTTCGAATGTTTAGAAGTGAAACCATTTAGAAATTGGTTGGGTTTTCAGTGAGAATTTGGATTTTATTTCTCCATGTATTTCTTCACAAGGTATTTTTCTCTCTCCTTGGGTGATTTTAATATAGTTAGTTAAATCAACACATTGAGCCTGTTAATTGGTTTCCTAAATGGGTTGATAATCAACCCAAAATGCACTAGAAATCAACATGCATTTCAAAAAGATTCTAAAACATGACAAAAAATATCATGAAAAATCTTTTATATCACACAAAATGAACTCCAATTATTAAATCTCAATGATAACCCTAATTATGATTGGTTTAAGATAAAAAATATTATCTAAAGTATACTAACATGCAATCAAGGAATATCCAAAATGTAAACATGCTATAAAGTATGCAGAATATTAAACATAAAGTGTATTGTTTGAAAAATTTATCTTGAATATACTTTTCTTAATTTTACTATAAATTTAACATAATTAATACATGAAATATAATAATTATGTGTTACTTATCACATAGAAATGGCCTCTTATAAGATTCCTAAACTAAATATTTACTTTAACCAATATGAAAGAACCACTAGTATAGGTAGTCACTAATAAGTCTTCATTATCATGAGTTAATAATTAGTAAAAAATATAATTTTAACCTCAACTCATAAAAGATTTATATTTATGTTAAAGTGTGAAAAGTGGTTTTCAATTGATTAACATGAATTTTTGGATAATTATGTAATTTTATATGAATTTATATAATTTTATAGTCTTACTTTTGAGATAAATGAAGAAAAAGATATAAAAAAATAAAATAAAAATGGGGGGTACCCACTGGCCAATCGAGCCTGCAACTCACATAGAAATGAAGTTTTATTAAATTATAATTGATATATTTGTTCAGAAATATTTCTAAGTATCTGAAAATTTGTATTTTCTAGTTTTATAAATTTTAAATTTACATGATTTATTATACAACAACTAAGTCACATCAATCACTATAATACTACAATGTCATATGTTCAAGGTAGATGACTAAAGGGAGCAAGTAACTTTATTCTTTTGAATGTTGTGATGAAAAGTTATTTTTTAAAGATAATATTAACAAAATTATCATTATGTATGCTAAGATTTTCATAGCCAATCACATTTTACTTTGAATTTATTTCTTTTTACAAAAGGATTATCAAATAATAGTATTAGTCAAATGCACTATAATAGAAGTCAAAGGTAATTGTTGTAGGATTTCTAACATTTTCACAAGTAATCATGTTTTTACTAATATCCAAAACGATTTTATAGTATATTCTTATCAAACCTCATTGTATCCAATGTCATTAGCATTAAATGCTTAATTACAAGACTTGGATTTATGATGTCCTTGTATGTATGATGAATATAACAACTATTTGAAAGCTTTCCAAACTAGATTTGTTGTGAAACTTAGCTTAGGTCTTGTAAAAATAAGTAGTTTAGTAGTGCAACTTGCATTCAAGAGTTTAGTGGAGCTAGTTGAAACATAGGGGGTGGGATTGAGTTTCTAATGCTTTCGACTATTTTACATTTCTAGATAATTATATATATGAGTTATTGCAAGATGTGTCAACATGTGGATGCATGTAACTCTTCTCACTATAGACAGTAGAGACATCAAGATTTTTATATTACTACATCCCTCACCCAGCTATGTCTAATTTCGAAGGTGTCCTACTAGTGTTTCACGATGTCCCTAAAGAAATTCACATTGAAGTTCACAAGCTCAGCTATCCAATCACTCAAATTCGTCTCCATATAGACTGCCCTTCTAAAGCCAAAATAGGCTACCAACACTTTGTGCCTTCACCCAACAACCTTTTCCCTCACCACCTAGTTACTTTAGGACCTAATAGAGTGTGTTCCCCTTCAAATTCAATGTTGTTTGAGTTGTCAAAGTTTTATGTAAATTAAGATGTAGCTTTTTGTCTATTATTGAAGCATTTGGCAAGAAGAGCTTCAGATTTTCACTTGGATATTTGTTTAGAAAACATACTTCTATTTCTCAAGACTCTCCTTATATATTAAGCAATCATCTTTTAATAGTTTCTTACTTTTATAGGGTCTTCAATGTTTAGGAAATTTATTCAAAAAGTTACCATTTCCAGAACACATGGTAACAACCTTTGACCTTTTGATGTGACCTAATCGTTGTATAATAAATCACAAAAATTTAAAATTTATAAACTAAGAAATACCAAAAAAATAATTTTTGAAATAAATAAATCAATTATAATTCAATAAACGGTTCCAAAATAGTAAAAAAATTCAGATTGATCATAATTTTTTATGATAGTTTTTAGAATTTTACTCAAAGAATATAACTTTTTATGATTTTTAAACTAAATAGTGAAGATAAAATATAATTAAAAATTTACAAAAAAGAGAAATTCAAGTGCAGACATCAAGATGACATCAATGTCCTAATGAATGTAAATTCAGCGAAAATAGAGTTCTGCCTCATGATTCTTATGTAAATAATAACAGATGATTGAATTGATTAAATTAAGTTCTATAAAAGTCAAAAAAATATAATTGAATGATAAAGAGTTTTCAAACTAGAAATAACACAAT